GGAGAAGACATGGTGGTGATGGCTGGGAGAGAACTTCGAAAAAAAATGGGGAATCAGATCGTAGGCTCTGATACCATGATAGAGTAGAATTGAATTGATAACTCTCGTAATGATTCAAGCTGTACGAGTGTATTATATACACCTTAACATGATAGAGCTTCACATAACTACCTAGCTAATATTGGGGAGTAAGCTACGGACTAGCTACTGCCTAGGAGCTAAAGTTTACATTGAATAAATATGTTACACGTAACAATATAATTTGTACATGAATAAATAATGTTATTATTTATTGCCAATACCCAGGACGCCGCACGGGTACTGTGCGATGCGTCAGACTCTATGCCCGTGACAAATGGTATCAGAGCCTTGCCCAATCCACCTGTTTTGGCTGGAACTTCTTGCCCAAAAAACATTTTGTTATTATATTAAGATAGATTTTATACTTTCACTTTTTCACTTTTGTTATATTATTTCAAAAATAGTCATTAAACTCTGATTGAAGTATGCTAGTCTGTCCACCGCTCACCTCTCTTCTCCTCTTCCTCGCAAGAAAAATCAGAAGAAGCCGACGACTCCTGCATCTGAGAAGCCGACCCGTCGAAATTGGCAAAATTGTTGAAACTAGATGCTATGGACAAGACCAGAAATGTCGACGAGGCGGTGGAGAGAGACGATTAGAAGAAGGTAACTTCAATTTTGTGTTTCGCAGGGCGAAACTAACGCTCGTCGACATGGATACCGACGACTTCTACGAGCTCGATTGGAGAGGGAAAGCCAGTCTCTGATAAAAAGCATATCATATCGATAGTGTTGGGGATGAAGGTTGCATTATAATGCTTCTGAGACCACACGACGATGCAGAAAGAAGGGTTGTGACGCTGCTTTTGCCGGAGAACTGAAGGACCGGTCAATTGCCTAATTAATTGATTGAACAAAAGAAACAGTAAGTCTACTTGAGGACTTCTCTAATGATGTGTTGGAATAGCTCAACAACATAGCTTTATTTGACTGTAATTTAAACTAGTGTGTTGTTTTCTTTGAACTATATATCTTATGGTGTGGAGTATCTCCGGGCTGAAATATATGATTTGATCTAAGTTTATTGTAGAAAAAATGAGAAGGTTCGCTAATTGTGGCCTAGCTAAAATCATTCTAAACTTTAAAAGAGAAGCTTCAATCTACTATCCTCCTGAAACTTACCAGATTAACTAACATGACTGGGCTTCACTTGAAATTTGATGACATGCTCAGTTGTGTTAATTTCATTCACTCATGACTAAGATATGCGGCATAGAACCTTCAAATTCATGGCACGCCATGAATTTGTGCTATAATGTTTTAATTAGCTTCATCCATGGTTCAATTACTCTTTCTGAAGTCAATCGATCATAGGCATGGCCACCGCTGGAAACCGGAACTTGAACGCCAAGCTTATCCTTCATGGAGATGGTGGAGCTGGAAAATCTAGTTTGGTATTGTGTTTTGTTAAAGGACAATTTATTGCATTCTAGGAATCTACAACAGGTGCTGCTTTTTTCTCGCAAACAGTGGCAGTTGATGATGCAACTGTGAAATTTGAAATATGGGACACCGCAGGTCAAGAGAGATACCATGATTTAGCACCAATGTACTATAATGGAGCTGCTGCAGCTGTTATTGTATCAGAGGCCTTCAAGAATGGGCCTCTATAACAGATTACCTTTGTGTTGAGTTGTTTATATTTTATTTTGGAGCATTAACACTTAATGATTATTTTGTTATCATTTTTTTAATAAGAACATGTTCTAACATAAGAACAATGAGAATTTTCTACCGCAAAAGGAACTCCAAAAAATAATTATTAGCTTCATTTTGATATGTTGCCTGTTAATGAGTGTGGTCAAATTGATTTTAATCCCGAAAGAACACCCAGAACCCGAACCATCCAATTTGAACCTTGTTTTAAATTCTAGAATCAATTTGATTTTTTTTTACTCTATTTATTTTGCACTTGCTATATATTAGTTAGTTATTAAAACTACTCAAATCATTATTTGGAAAGATTACCATGACATGTGCTAGTCAGTGATCACGGAACGTATTTAAAACTTCCTTTTTGCCAATCCTTGAGAGATGATACTCGGGGTGTGGTTATTCTTTGAATTAGCCAACTGCGTTTGACCCACACAAAAAACAGCTATCAAATGGCGCCGTTGTCGGGAAGTGGCGCGGTTGTTTGTTAAGTGCTTTATGTGGAATAGGTAAAGGCAAGTCGGTGAGACTTTCTGTTTCTTTTTTCCTTGTTATTTGTTTTTTGTTTTTGTTTTGTTGCAAGAACCAGTGCATGTACACCCGCTCCTCGAGTGAACAAGAACTGATTGGAGGTTATTCTAATCTTGAACACCTGTTTCGAGGAAGGACTAAGAGGCGATTGCTAGAAGACTTGGAGAAAATGACTGATGTGACAACTCTAGAGACATTAATGTCTAACTATGTGGCGAGAAATAGAATTGGGGCACCCACCATCGAAGCCAATAATTTTGAAATCAAGACGGCCATGATGCAGATGCTTGCCAACAATCCATTTTGCGGATACACCCATGAAGATCCAATATAATGGAGCATATTGAGAGCTTTATTCAGACGTGTGTCACGTTCAAATATAATGGAGTGTCCAGCGAGGCGATGAGGTTGACTTTATTCCCATTCTCACTGAGAGACAAGGCTTCACAGTGGCTCCATAGCTTTCAAAATGGGCACTTTGATATATGGGAGAAGCTTCATCAGGCATTTATGCATGAGTACTTCCCTCCCTCTGCCGCTATCAAGGTTCAGACAGAAATTCTCAATTTCACTCAAGCTCCGACGGAAACTTTCATTGAAGTGTGGGAAAAACTTAAGATGCTGAGAAGGAAGTGTCCAAAAACATTCATGAATTCAGCAACCATTATGTGTAGATTTTATAATGGGTTTCAGCTGGAGTATATGAGAGAACTAGACCGGGCAGCTCGGGGGGTATGTTGCTGAAATTATCCCCACAGGCGGAAGGGCACATAATCAATAATTTGGCTTCAAATGATAAGTATTGGTATGGGGGAAAAGAGAACTCAAAATCCACCCGATTCGCTCAATCTGGATCCCATCACTGCACTCACAACGAAGATTGAGGGATTAGCAGTGGACGTGAAGGAACAGACTTCTCAACAGCAACAAGTTCATAATATTGGGGCATACGAGCCCCCTTATCCTATGTATTCTACCCCACTTCCCGTTCGAGCAAGCTATCCAAGCCCAACCGGTCAAGAACTCGTTTTATCTTGCGAGATGTGCATGGAAGCTCACCTCACTCACACTTGCTCGGCCTTTGTATGATCGGAATCAGACACTCAGTGATCCATGGTGTGATTTTCATGGAATATGGTCAAGGCCAGAGAGGAGGTGGACAATTTTTCAACCATCAAGGTCAAGGGGGAAACTTCCCGCAAGGAGGGGGCTTATGGAGGCATGAAAATCAGAATCAAGGGCAACGAAATACACCCAATTTCCAAGAAAAATTCCAGAACAGATGAGGCAATTCGAATTAGTCCGCTTATATCCCGCCTCATCAAAGACAACTTGAGCTACCTCATGTAAATGTGACGTTAGCGAAAACAGTGGTTGGATTACCCAAAAATCAAGCAGAGATGCATCAAAGTTTCAGCAACTTCGAAGCTCTCACCAGATAATGACATTTACTATGTGGGGGATATAGTGGTTGAAAGTGAAGAAGAAATGACTATTGATTGCGAACATGTGATTAGGGATGGTGTTTTTCTTGAGTTGCTTACTGAGTTTGGGGAGCAACCCACTGATAAGGTTAATCCTGAACTCAAACCACTCCCTAGTCACCTGGAGTATGCGTTTTTGGACACAGAGGACCAATGCCCTATAATTATTTCAGCTCAAATAGAGTCAGGACAGAAGGAAAAATTGATTGATGTCCTTAGACGCCATGAGCAAGTCATTGCTCGTAAAGCTTAAGGATCTTCGCGGGATTAGCCCAACCTTCTGTACCCACAAAATCAAGTGTGAGGAGGGGTATAAACCAATTGTGCAACGACGTTTAAACCCCAAGATGATGGATGTGGTAAAGGCAGAAGTCCTAAGGCTTCTGGATGTGGGTATGATTTACCCAATTTCATATATAGCCAATGGGTTAGCCCTACTCATGCAATCCTCGAGAAGGGGGGCATAACGGTTGTTAAGAATGAGAAGGGAGAACTCCTACCTAGTAGGACTGTGACCGGGTGCCAGGTGGCAGATGGTCATTGATTATCGTACACTGAATGAGGCCACTCAGAAAGATCACTTTCTCTTGCCGTTTTTGATCAAATGATTAAGAGGTAGGTAGGGCATGCTTATTATTGTTTCCTTGACGGGACGAATGGATGCTTTCAAATACACGTTGATCCCATTGATCAGGAAAAGACTACTTTCACTTGTCCATTCATGACATTTGCATTTCATATGATGTCTTTTGGTCGATGCAATCCCTCTGTCACATTTATGCGTTGTATGGTAGCCATCTTTGAGAAATTTAATGGTCACTAGATATTATCTAGTGACGTTAAAGAAGCGCTTCGTGAGGCAACCCACCACAAAAAAAAAATAGAATTAGGAGTTCAATATTTCTTGTTTGTGCATTTTCATTTACGTTGTTTTTATGTTATCATCTTGTGGTTCTGCGTTTACGAGAGGGACATCATAAACTGATTATGGAAGTCAAAGTGCGGTCATGCGGAGCAATGTTGATGGAGCTCCTCACGGCTACTAGGTGCAATTTACTTTGCAGCAAGCCCGGAGGCTCCGGAGCGATACGAGAGCAACTCAGATTCGGACATTTGCTAGGCCAATGGTTAGAGACCTACGCATGCTCAAGGAGAGGGTCTCTGGGCAGGTTCCAAACTTGACAGTAATTACTCATTTAAAAAAAAAAAAAACATGACAATCCTAGTTTAGAATTCTCAAACCTTTTTAGTCTGATTTCGGGAATTTTCCCTTAAATTTATATCACAAACAAAACTTAAATGAAACTTGCAATGTACGAATAAATATATTTTAAATGAGACAAGTTTACACGAACTTGTGAAGTGGTCCACTGATCTCTAAAATGTAATGCAAGATCAACATTAGACTTGGACATTCTAATTTCTAAGTCGTTCCTATATAACAATACTCCATTCTACGATTGATCATAAGTTCAACTTTTCATTATATAATGGAGGTGTCAAATAAGAATGTCTTTAGAATGCAAGTTTTATCATCCCATTTTATCATCCCAAAACATCAGATTAAGCAGGGTTAACATATGTTCAACTAACGGCAAATGGGCAGGTTAACCATTGAATAACCATTTTTGCCTCTTGGTTGTACGATCCAGGGCCTTCTTATATCCAGCTTCAAGTTTTCTTTTTAGGTCATTTAAATCTTCATCCCTCACCGTGCCATTTAACTTTTTGTTCATTTCATAAGCTTCACTAAGTCTCTGACAGCATTCTTTGCTAGCTGAACCGTGTGAAACCACTGCCACAGAGAGAGGATCAGTAGGGAACAGAACACACTTTTGTTTAATTGTTTATAAATGATGATGATGATGATGATGATGATGATGATGATGATAAAGAAACTAAATAGTAGGTCTAGACCAGATCCTGTAGACCACCACAAAACATGATTTCAACACAGAAGACAAATATAGAGAGAGAGAGAGATCACAAAATATAAGACCAACCTGGCTTTGGATAATCTATTCCAATAACACATTTCACTTTTTGTTGTACAGAGAGAGGAGCAGTCCATGGCTCATAAATATACTCCTTGGGCATGTCTGTCATTAAAAGTTAAATATTCATTTTATGGAGAAAAAAATGAGACTGCCAGTGAAAGGTGTTCTAATCAAACCATAGTGAAATAGTACAGTGTACCTTTTAATACAGGGAGAAAATGCCTTATGTACTCTCCGTTGGGATCATATTTCTTCCCAAATGAAACGGGAGAATAAATGCGGTGATACTGAAATAAAATTAAAAAGAGTTGCAATTTTGGAGCAAAAAAGAATAACAAATCATTACAAATAACTGATGTAATGATATGATCAGTGTTCTAAAAGGCGCTAGGCGCTAGTCGGGCGGTGACTGGCCGCCTAGCGCCTAGCCTGCCTAGGCGGGCACCTAGGCGCCGACTAGGGCGCCTAGGTATTTTCCTTTATATCTTTGTTTTATTTTAATTTCCAAGGAATTTTAAATATATTACCAATAATTTTATAATATTTTGACAATAGGAATAGCTCATATAATCATTAGATATTATGGTTTTTGTAGAAATTTTATAAATAATAAAATAATTAATAAATAAATGAAGAGATTTATATTTTTAGTGTCTAAAAATGTACATATACATCCTAAAAAAATTATAAATATATCAAAATTATTTTTTTTTCATCGTAATATGAAACTAAATTATATAGGAATAGAATAATTATTGATCGAACGCTATTTTAAGTCGAAACGAAAAAAAAAGTTGGATCGGGAAAAAAATTAATACAGACCGCCTAGCCACCGCCTAGCCACCGCCTAGACGCCCGCCTAGGTGCCCGACCGACTTTTTCCACCGATTACACCAAAATCGGGGCGCCCGGCCACCGCCTAGCGCCTAGGCCGATTTTTAGATCCATGAATATGATGACCCAATATAGAAGCAAAGAGTTGTACCTGGTATGAAAATGAAGAGCAAGAGAGCCACAGCCAATTCCCATTGTTGATTGCCCAATCAGAGTCAATTAGTAATCTCTCAAAAATATCACGTCCTTTTTCCCAATGGATGAACTACATGAACAAAAATTAGATATGAAAAACAAAACATAAGTACTTCATCAAAATGGGTAAAGGAATACTTAATAAATTAATAAATACTTGCCAGATCTCCGCGAGTGAGAAAGCATGCTACAGAATGCCGTGCCAGATGATGCATCCAACCCCACTTCCTCAGCTATGATAATATATAATGTACCAAACATTTCATAATTATTGTAAGTTGAGTACATGTTTCAAGCTTAGCTTGTACATTTAGAACGCAAAAATAAATGATAAACCTGAACCATTATGGCATCAATCCAAGGAAATCCTGTTCTAGCATCTCTCCAAGCAACTAGCAGTTCATCATTGTCATTCCAAGGTATCTATTAGAAGAGCAAGCAAGTTAGATGCAAACACCCCAAACTTCAGCTTCAACCTTTGTTTTCTCAAAGGAATTGTATCAATACAAGACCTGAAAGATTGGTTAATTATCAATCTAAGATCTAAAAGATAAAAATTGCCGATATAGGGCCCAAATGATTGAAGACTATCAATCTAAGACTCAAAATATCATGAATTTTATTTTTTTATTTGAAATATTTATATGACTTTCTAATTTTATTAAACTAATAAACATTTGTGAAGAAAAATCATCAAAACTTAGCAATAAAAAAAAGAAAGAAATAAAAAACTATAATATTTTTTGTCTTTGATTGATAGTTTTCAATCTACGGACCTTGTATCGATAATTTTTATCTTTCAAGTCCGGGATGGATAAAATTCCTTTCTCAAAAGAGGGAACGGGAGGCCAAGAGAGATGTTGAGGTACTAAGGTATGAGGAGTTTGGAGGAGCCTATAGCTCCACCACTTCCCCCTTCACCCCCCAACTAAAAACACAACACTCCACTTTCTTCTCATTCACTACAACCAAACAAGGTCTTAAAAAATGGTCAAAGATGGTTCATCGTGTGCATAGATGCTTGAAATTTGTGAAGCACGGACACAGGTGCGGGTCAGGGAACAGTTGGGACACAGAAACATATATAAATATATATGTCTACATATATACATGCATACATACATATTTACACATATTTACATAAAATAAACATATGCATAAAATGGCAAATGATAATCATATCATAGTTGTTACGGCGGGGTTTTGCGGCGCGGCGCCTCTGGACTGCCATACCGCCATGGCGATATGGCGCCCGTCGCGGCGGCATCACGGCGATAAGTCGACATATACACTAATAAATTCATAATACGTTTTACATACTAAAATACCTACATGTAACACTTGTAGGCAACACTAAAAATGAAGTAATAAAACATGTAATCACATAAACAACATACAGAGTAATCCATAAGCCTATAATACATCAAAACAATCCCAAACAAATCCAATGAAATCCATATCCATAAAATAAAAGTTGTTTTCAAAAAATTGAAACAATTGAAACATTTCCTAAAATAGTAGCAACTAAAATTAAATATAGTACAACAATGCACACTTCAGTTAAATGATTTTCTGTAAAACACAGTTTAACACAGCATTAAATACAAAGCATGCCACATTAAATACAAAGCACAGGTTAAATTTTTGTACAACATAAAACATTTTTTTTGAAAGAGTGCAACATAAAACATTAAATATTTCTGCACACAATACGGGAGTAATGCAAAAAAAAGGACTTGCACATTAAACCGAATCTAGAGTCTAGACAAATATTGGACCAAAAAAACAGCGGACGACAGTCGCTGTGAGTCACGAGCGACTACAGCCTGGGCGATGGAAATACAAGCGAAGCTGGAGCGTGCAAACGAATGAACGATGAAGACGGGTGGAAGCGACTGTGCTTTTGAGAAGTCGTTGATTCGTAGATAGGTCTGTTTATTTTATTTTATTTTATTTTATTTTATTTTATTTTATTTTATTTTGATGGGTTCAAATAATTGGGTTTGGGCCTGTTCGAAATTGATTAACTTACGTTTGGGTCGTCGCTTAGGCGTCTATGGCGTGTTTCCGATGCCACAGCAACGCTGCGTCGACGCCAAATGGTTTATGGCGTCTCGACCTCCCATGGCGAGCTTCAGATAGCGCCACGACGATATAGCGACGTTTAGGCGACGCCATGGCGACGCCGTAATAACTATGACTCATATTATACTTTTTCTAACTATTCCACTTCTAATCATGATAAAGCTATCTCATGTGGACTTAAAAAAGGCAGTAGGCTCCATACGAAACAAACTTCGAGACTAGTGGTAGATGAATAAGAAGAGTTGAAAGTAGAAGAACAGTAGTAGTCAGTGGTTTAGTGTTTAGTTTGTTTTCTTCACAGTAGTAGTTGAAGAAGGTAGCTGTGGTCAAAGATTTTCTGGTTTAGTGTTTAGTTTTTTTAGCCACAACTCTTGATAGAGTAAAGAAGCAGGATGGACTTAAATCAGTATAGCAAATCTTTATTCTTTATTCTGGAAATGAAAAACAGAGATAACAATGACAAGGTATGCCTAGAAGGCAACCTCCAACAGAGATAAACCTTTGCCCAACTATTCTAAATTATTGTATTGACTCCAGATATCGTCCCCTCCTAGTCTAGGACCTTATTTATAATAGATTATTCTGCATAAATAAAGTAAGTGTATCAATATAGATGTCCCATCCCTTAAATTGTGCTACTGTAGCCATTAATGAGTAATCCCACTTATTGTGCTCTTCGTTATATTATGCCTCCTCATTGATTTGCTCCTGATTTGTTTCCATAAACCTTTGATTGCCTTTCCTTTTCCTAGAATATACTATCCAGCCACTGGCACGTGTATCATTGCCGCCGTCCAAGGAAACAGTCTTGTCCACAAGGCTGGTGTGCGGAAACTGACCGCGAAAATCCACAGCATCCATCCAGGTGGCTTCATCGGTAGGTCTGCCTTCCCAGTGAACCAAAACCTGATGGACCCCATTCATTTTTCTTGAAGCTATAATATCATGAGGAACGAACCCTGGGTCTTCAACCACCAAATCCTCTGGAAGTTCTGCTAGAGCGGGATGTTCTCCAGTAACTCGTTTTAGTTGGGAGACATGAAAAACTGGATGAACTTTAGCTGATGGGGGAAGTGAAAGCTTGTAAGCAACTGCACTTAATTTACGGATGATGACAAAAGGACCAAAATATCTTGGGGCCAATTTTTGATTGATCCTCTTCTGCACTGTGGTCTGCCTGTGCGGTGGGAGCTTAAGGAGGACCTTGTCACCCACCTGAAATTCCAAGTCGCGACGTTTGGCATTGGCAACTTTAACCATTCGCTGCTGAGCCCGCTCCAAATTGTAACGGAGCTGCCGTAGAATCTCATTGCGATCCTCATGATCATCGGCCACTGCAGCCACTTTAAATTCCCCCGGTAAATATTGAGCTAGTGTTGGTGGTGCTCGCCCATACAGTGTCTGAAAAGGGGTATACCCAGCGGCTCCCTGGAAGGAAGTGTTGTACCAGTATTCTTCCCAATGCAAGTAGTGACCCCATTGCTTTGGCTGCTCGGAAGTGAAACACCTTAAATACTGTTCGAGACACCTATTAACAACCTCTGACTGCCCATCGGTTTGTGGGTGATATGACGTACTCATCCGCAGTTTGGTGCCTAACTTGGCAAAAAATTCAGTCCAAAAGTTACTCAAGAAAATTGGGTCCCGATCACTTACTATGGAATGTGGTACCCCATGTAAGCGAACAATTTCCTTGGCAAACACGTCTGCCAAAGATCTGGCAGTAAACGGGTGGCGTAGTCCCACAAAATGTGCATATTTTGTGAAGCGGTCAATGACCACCCAAATGCAATCGAATCCATTGGAGCGAGGTAGGCCCGTGATGAAGTCCATAGCAATGTCTTCCCATATAGCAGATGGAATGGGCAGTGGATGAAGAAGTCCAGCTGGTGACAAGGTCTCATACTTATTTTTTTGACATATGAGACACTCAGATACAAACTGCTACACCCGTTTCATCATTCCTTTCCAGTACACGTTCGCGGCCAAACGACGGTAGGTTCGATAGGCTCCAGAGTGACCTCCCATAGGTGTTGAGTGAAATTCTTCTAGAAGCTTCGAAATCCAAGGTGAATTGGCTGGGAGAACTATTCGACCCTTGTAAAAAAGTCGCCCATTAATCAACTGGAATGGTGGGCTGCTGGCGGGGTCGCGCTGGAGTTGCTCATAAATAGAGTGCAAATAAGCATCTCTAGAGATAGCTGATTCTAACTCACTCCAATCCGCCCAAACTGGTAGAGAAATCGCAGATAAATGCATTGTCTCATGCTGACGTGACAATGCATCTGCTGCATTGTTGGTTTTCCCCGGTTTGTATGTAATTTCAAAATCATATCCCAGGAGCTTAGAAATCCAATCTTGTTGAGAGGGTGTGGTGACTCTCTGATGGAGTAGATGTCGTAGGCTTCTGTGGTCGGTTCTGACCACAAACTTTCTGCCTATAAGATATGGCCTCCAGTGCTGAATGGCTAAAACTAGCGCCATCAATTCTTTCTCATAAGCAGATTTGGCCAACGTGCGACCGGACAATGCCTTGCTAAAATATGCAATAGGACGTAGTCCTTGCATCAAAACAGCCCCCACCCCTGTACCGGAGGCATCACATTCAATCATAAATGGTAGAGAAAAATCCGATTGGGCAGGTTGCGACCATTGAAATCGGGCTAAGGAATCTTTCTTTAATAAGGCAGTAAGAGGCTGCGCAATCTTACCATAATCTCGAATGAACTGACGGTAGTAGCCAGTGAGCCCTAAGAATCCCCTGACAGCCTTGAAAGATTGCGGATTGCGGTTGGGGCCAGCGAAGCACACTGCTGATTTTTGAAGGGTCCATAGCTACCCCGAATTGGGATACAATATGCCCAAGATATTCTACTGATGTTTTTCCAAAACTGCACTTTTTTTCATTTGCCTTGAACTGATTGTGCTTCAGAATGCCCATCACCACAGTAAGATGTTGCAAATGGTCTTCCCACGTCACACTATATATTAATATGTCATCAAAAAAAACGAGGACAAAGCGTCGAAGGTATGGACGAAAAATGTCATTCATAATTTGCTGAAAAGTGGCTGGCGTATTCATCAATCCGAAAGGCATGACTAGGAACTCGTAGTGGCCTGAGTGAGTACGGAACGCTGTTTTTGGCACATCTTGAGGAGCCACTCGAATTTGATGATAGCCCGAACGAAGGTCAATTTTGGAGAAATATCGGGCGCCGTGGAGCTCATCCAACATCTCTTGTATGACTGGAATGGGATATTTATTCGGCACCGTAGCTTTGTTTAATTCACGGTAGTCAACGCAAAACCTCCAACTCCCATCCTTTTTCTTGACCAAG